TGGGATTTTCAAAGCAGGAGACTGTGGTAGTGGGTTAACAGAAATCTGGCAGTTTGCATGTACTTCCTGTACTTTCTTTTATAGCTGTTACTTAAAGCAAATACATTCTTTATTTGTATAAACTTTATTGCAGGACATTTCCAGAAGACCTTGAGTGAACGCACACAGTGTTTGAGTCCATTTTAGTTGTGACCTGATCTGTAAACACGTTCTCTTGTAGATAAGGCTGGAGTGACTTTCTTTCAAATTTTGGCAAGTTTTTACATAATACCAGTAAATTTCACCCCCACCAAAGCCAGGTTTTTTCAATTAAGTTATCAAATCCTTTTTTTCTACTGTAGTTAATAAGAATTGATTTCAAACTCTTAAAATGCTTACGCATGCATTTAATCATCAGCAAACTCTGACGTAAGCAGTATTTTGTGTGCTCATTTTTTAATGTGAACAAGAACTGATTTAGAAATTAATGACTGCTTATGTCTAGGTGGAAAAATGCCCTCACCAAGTAGAGTCATGCAAGGCAAAAGTCACCGGTTTGGTTCTGGTTAGCTGTTTTGGGGGATGCAAAATTTGCCTTTGAGCTGTGATGAAACAAGCAAATTCTTGAACGTTATTTATGCAGCCTGAGAATGCTGAATAGCAGACAGTAAAAATGTTCTCTGATGATGTCTGTTCACTGATTCCAGCTAGAATCATGTGGCAGGGACATCTACATGATTTCACAAAAGCAGTGCACAATTCGGGGCTTAAAAGAAATTCTTGCAAATGAAAATCAGTGCACTTGGAAGCTATTATGATTTGTAGTGATTTCAAGCATTTAGGTTTTGAAATAATCGCCTATTAAAGCTCCATTAAATGTGCTTCAAAAGCCACGAACTGATGAAGACAGTGCCCCCAGTAGCCTCTTCTGTCAGTATTTGAGCATCTTCTGAATTTCTCTTCCTGCCAGCAGAAATTATAATTCACAAAATTGCAGCTGGCAGAAAGAAATTGTTAATCAGATTCCAAACCTGTCTGCTGAAAAGGTGCAGGACAATGGCTTGCTAAAACTGCCTATGCTGCTGGGAACAACCCTACTAGAGGCAGAGCTATCTCCTTCCTGCTCCCAACAGCCTGCCTTGGACAGTCCTTTCTTGCTTTCAACCCCTTTTTGCAGGTTGTTCCAAGGGCTCGAGGTTGATGTCCATCCTGAGCAGCACTGTGTGTGGTGGAGATTCAGCTGGACTCTGGGTGATGCCACCCTTCATCTCAGTGAGGTCCCTGGGGAGAAGGAGTCAAAGGCTCAAGAGGTATTGCAAATTTATTACTCTTCATGTTTGCTCTTGGTTACCCTTTGTGTTGCCCTTTAACATGGTAATGAGGCCAAAACAGTCCACCACGAACCTGGAAAGGTATCAGTGCTCTGGGGAGGCTTTCGTTTGCTGTAAATCATCCTTTATTAAAGGTGTCTTTTGCCAAGCTCCACAGACCCCAGGGGGTTTGCAGTGGTTCCTGAGGTTTTGCAGAAATGGCATTATGAATTGATGGCTTTGGTCTCCAGGCCTCCCAACAATTGGGTTTTGAGCTAAATTGCTCTCTGTAGGAGCCTGGAGTCTCCTGTGCTGTTTTTGGTGTTGTTGTTTGTTGGTTTTTTGTGTGTGTGTTGTTTTTTTTTTTTTTCATAGAAAGCGTTGGCTACTTTTGCAATTCTTCAGGGCATGTAAATGCTGCTGCTCTTGGTCTATAGTGAGGACTGTTGACTCTGTCAGATGCCTCAGCAGACCTTGAACTCTCTGTGGTGTTTGTCAGTCCTCTGTAGTCTGTCCTTTTGGAGCCTAGGAGCTCTGGCCAATACCTTCCAGCTGATCTTGTAGCCACCACAGCATGGGGTGCTCCAGCCAGGGGACCTCTGCCACAGTAGACACTGCTTGAAATGCTGTAGTTTAGAGGCAGTTGCTTCCTCAAGAACTGAGTTGTGACATGGAGAACCTGGTGCTATCTGTTCAGCAAAGCCTCTCTAGTCTGCTTCAGAGCTCTTTTCTGTCTCTTCCTACATCCTTGTGACACTTAATCACACTAAACAACTGCTGTGCATGGGTACCTGAGGATTTCAGCCTTATCTGAATTGATTTAACATCCAGAGGAACCTTGACAGGCTTGAGAAGTGGGCCCATGCAATCTGCATTAAGTTCAAAATGGCAAAGTACAAGGTCCTGCACATGGGTCAGAGCAATCCCAAGGACAAATATAGGCTGGGTGTAGAATGCATTGTGAGCAGCCCTGAGGGAAATGACTTGTTGGTTGATGAGGAGCTCAACATGAGCTGGCAATGTGTGCTTACAACTCAGACAGCTGTATCTTGGGCTGCATGAAAAGAAATGCAGCCAATAGGACAAGGGGGGAAGATTCTCTCACTCCACTCCTGTGAGACCCCACCTGGGGTACTGCATCCAGCCAGGGAGCCCTCAGGACAAGAAAGATGTTGACTATGAAAGTTCCAAAGGAACAGTTTAGGGTTAGGTGGAGTAACAACCACACACTTTGGTTTGTCGATAGGACACACAGACAATTCCTACTTTTATTTCTGAAAAACAGGTGATTTGACTTTACTGCCTCAAGGGATTCACATCCTTTCTTGGCCTGTGTCAGAGAAATTCTGCAGAAATGGTGGGAGATGAATCACAGCTGCGACTTGAGGTAACTTGGAGAGGCAGTAGAAGAAAGGAGTGGAATGCCCATGTCCTGGGCTGCTTGGTCAGTTGGGCTTTGCAGAGCCACCCTCTTTGGGACATGACTGGCAAAGAGAAAATAAACAGGTGGAGGTCAATACAGCGTGGGAGGTGGGGGGAGAGTTTACATAAACAGGAGGTTGTAAACACAGGGAGATAACCAAAGGCCTCCCTCTTCTGCAGCTCCCTGTCCAGCCTGGGTGAGATCTGCACCAGAAAATGCAGCAGATCTTGAAAGGCTCTGTCGTTGGGGAAAAATGGCTGGTGGAAAAAGCTCTGCAGGCATCTCACTTTTAGGGTCATAGCATGGATTGTCCTAGTGGGCAAGGCAGGAACCTGAGGCTGAGCACTGTGTGCCTTGGATGAGGCAAAGGACAGCAGGCACAGTATGTTGCTGTGGTGAGGTTTTCTAGATCTGAGTTCTTCCTGTAGGTCCTTGACAGGTGTTGGCTGTTCTGTCCCTTTAATCTACTTCCTATTGCAAGCTATTCCCTAAATTAAATAGTTTAGTTGGAAGAGAATTGCTTTGGTCTTGACAGAATATGCTGTGTCTATCTGTTTTAACTGCAGATTTAGTTTGCAAATAATACCTGCTTTCCGAGAAGGTTCAGGTGTCATTTCTCTGGACATTGGCAGCAATTCACTTGACCATGACAGCTTTTACAGTCTCACAATTAAGTTGTCAAGATAATTTTTTTTCCTGTCAGGAAGCATTAATTGATGATAGTCTTAGTTGGAATAAGCCCTGAGAGATGGATATTGTAATCAGGTTGGACAGAGGTCCTTATAGCTGAGGTCTGCATTGGTCCAAAGGTCTGGAGTCCTCAATACTTGATGGAACTGAGATAAGGGAGAGGAGACATCTGAGCTGCATATCAGGGAGAAGGAATGAGAACAAGATATATGAATAGAGATCTATCTAATGTCATTAATTAGATATGCTGGCAGTTGGGGAGAATTTAGCTCTGCAGATGCATGCTGCAAGCTACTAATATTAGCAGAGCTCCTGGATATGAAAACAAATAGAATTTTCCATTAGGTCATCCCCAAAATCGTGTTATTGTGGAGTTACTTTTCAAGTGAGAAAGAAGTTAGAGATGTCCTTCTCTTGGAAAATAAAACTGGGATGATTCAACACACCCTCACTCTGTTTAAGTTATGTTAAAAATAGACCTGCAACTAAGGATTTTTATTACCAAGTACAAAATTGGGAAGATTAGAAGTTAGTGAGAAATTTGGGGAATTTAGGATCCTAGTTGGGAAGACTGGGATTGACATAAATTCAGAGAGTTGGCAAAAATCTTCTGAAAGGATTAAAAAGTATTCAGGACAAATCCAGGTTTTGTTACCTTGATAGTCGACAAACCTTGAGGAGGAATTTGAAGAAAACTAAAGATATGAAGTGCAAAGGGATATAATGTATACAATGAAGTTTCAGGAAGGAAACCATGTGTGGGTGAATATCAATCTTTGTATAGTTGGCCTACTTCCTAGATAAAGGAAATACAGTACATCTAGTCTATTCAGGTATCAAAAGCATTTGGCCTCCTGCCCTGTGGGATGGTGTCACTTAGGGTTGGTGATGTGGGTCAGGAACTGGCCATGGGGGAGGTAGCAGCAGATCAGCAGAAGGTACCATAGGAGTTACTAAAGAACAGCCAAAAAATATGGATGTTAGGACCAAACAATTTTTCTCCTTGTTGTAGTACAAGAAAAGTTGGCACCTGGAGCAAAGCGCTGCGGAGTTTTTTGAAACAGGAGAAGAGCGGGATTTCTCCTGCAGAGCGCAGGGTGACCTTCTGGGCTGAAATTGCCTGGGCTCAAACTGAGATGAGATGTAGCAGGGAAGAGTACAAAATCGTGCTCTGACGTTAAATAACAAGGGTGTTGGCTGTCAGCTGTCAGCTCATTTGAAAGCTCTAAAAGAGGAGGAAAATCTAATTGCGTTGAGCCAGTTGCAGGGCAGATATGAGCCATCAATGTGTCTCAGCCATGAGAGGGGCAGCCCAGGGCAGGGGCAGATCCATCTGCGAGGAGAGGGGTCCTGGCATGCTTCCCACTCACAAAAAGTCCCTTCCTGGCATACACACCTATGTCAATCATTAGCTACAAATCTAGGGCTGGGTAAATAATTTTTTTGGCTTTGAACGCTGATGACAGACTTGGAGCATTACCTAATAAGGTGGGACCACTCAATACTGTGGTGTGCTATATATTCCTGCTCCTACCTGCACTCTTCCTCTCCCGCACAGAGAGCTAGCAGGCTGCACTGGGCTGGTGTCTCTGTCTGCCATGAAGATAACGGGGGTCTTCGTGAAGGCGGCTCTAGCCCTTTGCTGCTACTTGGGTGAGTATTTCCTGAGATGTCAGAGATTGATGAGCTGTATCAGAGCTGAGTTTTCGTTTCAGTAGAAGTATTTTGGTCTTGTAACATGGAGGAGAGCCTCATTCCATCAAGAAATATTCTTCCTGAGAGTGTGTAACAAAAAAATCAGAATTCAAGACAGGTTTCAGCAAATTTCATACAGGCAACTCTTTTCATCTTCTTGGTTTGTAGCAGCAAATTGCTGAGGGAGCAGTCACAGTGCAGGGGCTTGCACATGGGAGTGCTGGGTATAAGGACGTAAAAATGCAAATGTTAACTTCTAGGATGGGTCTGTAAGCTTACTGTGCTGTTGCTGGTAATTGAGGATATGTTTGGAGATGGACAGTGCCAGTGGTAAACCATCGTTTTAAGCACACAAGTCCAAATGTTTTGGAAGTCAAATATCAAATCATCGAAGTCCAAGAGTATCGAATTGAAATCCATCCCTTCTTATGGATAGGCTACTATGTGTTCTCCCCTGGTTTATCTACCCTCAGAAGTGCAAGGAAATGTAGTAACTTTTAATACATCCTATGGCCACTTACTGGCATAATGTAAAATTCCATATTTTCTTAAGCCAAACTAGTCAACAATAGTAACTGAACTGAATTTATTATAAAATAATAACTTACATATCTTCTCAGTATATCAATATGATTTTTTTCCTTTTTTTTTTTTCTTTTAGGTGCTGCCTTTGGAGTTGAGGTGAGTTACAGATCTGTTCCAAGTTTCTGGTAAAGCAGGAACAGTATGTAATTACCTGATGAGCAAGTGGATTAAGTCTAATGAAAGCTTGGCTGTTCAAATAATATTTGCCAGTGCATGAGTGAATATTATTGCCAATTTCATGGGAAAGTAAAAGATCTCCCACTTTTCACAATCTTTTCAGTTCATGAAATGAAATGAAGAAAGCGAGAAGTAATTAAACACCCCTATTGTATTAACTCTTACACATACTTTTGTTACTTCAAGCCAAAGACAGTAGTTGCCCTTCTCATGAGGAATACTATCTTAAGATGATAGCCTTGGAAAGCATCAATATCTGTGATTCTGATAGTTTTTCCTATACAGTAAGACTTGCAGAACTGTGTTCCTTGCATAGGTTTTCTATAGCTACATCACAGAGAGGAGAACAGCAGGGTCTGCGTGATGGATCTGTCTGCAGGTTCTTCCCACGCAGTTACAAGACTCCAGGAACTCCCCAGAGACTACAGCACGCTGGGTCTGTGAGCTGAGGGGCTCTGCTGAGCTGGGCTCCCAATTACCTACTGTCTTCATTAGACACTGCCTCACCCACAGTAATCCTTCCTCTGTGCCCTGCCTTCCCCGGACCCTGGCAGGAAAGCATGATCAGAAACTTCTGTAGAGAAGGCTCACTCCTCCTGACTGTCTGAGCAGATTCAAAATAATAACGCTAATTTTCCTCCTGACAGGAGCTGCAGGCCCTGTGGCTGCAGTGGGAGGCTGCATGGAGGTTTCTTTCTGTGTGGGAGCCAATGTTGGGGCTGATTCCGTGCTGCTTTTGCAGGTTGATTGCAGCCAGTATTCCAGTCACGTCACCAAGGATGGGACGGTCTTGATAATTTGCCCAAGGAACCTGAGTCCAGTCTGTGGCACTGATGGCAACACGTACAGCAACGACTGTGGGATCTGCTTCCACAATGGGTGAGTATTGCTGGAAACCCAGCAGACACTGCAGGGACTTGAGGCAAGGCTGGCAGCTCCATCCTCCAGAGATGGACTGCGTAGAGGATGCTCTCAGCAATCCACGACACAGGCCTGTTTTCTTCTAGTGAACATGGGACCAATGTGAAGAAGGCACATGATGGAAAATGCGAGCCAAAATCTATTGTGGTAAGACAAAGTCCATGGAAGACTTTAGCTGACTATAAAAGGGATCAGTCCAAACACCATACAAGGGGAAATCACAATGTGCACAGCTGGTCTGCACAGTCCAGGGGGAATTAAAATCTGATGGTGATCAAAGCTGAGAGGATATCTATGGACTGTCTGGTACCATGTCTCTGTGCTTTTCTAATTTAGACTTCTAGCCTCTCTAATTAATAATAAATTAAAATGTTGTGTTGGCTGAAGGTTGGGTCTCACCACCTGGATAGCTCCAAAAGGATCTTGTGAAGGACCTCACAAAGTGCAAATCACAGTGTTTC